AAAGCAGGTATTGCAGGTAATTGAACATTCTACTTCACTTGTTCAGCCATCACAAACAGAGTAACATAAGTGGTGGAAAAATTGACAATGAGGTTCGAGGACCTATACCTTCAAGTCTCAGCTCCAAATCGAGACAATTTTTAGTAAAAACATGCAAACGTGCGAACTCCTCTAGGTCACCACCTTATGGAGGATTCCTCTGGAGGCCACATATGTGGACTTAAAATGGCACAAATAGAATGAGCTCTTAATTTTTCAAGGCAGCTTCTATTATGATGCGGAGAAACTCCACTACCTGTTTCAACAACCTTTGTTCAGTCATGGGTTTATCCAAGGTATTATTCCCAAAGGAAAACTTTCCAGAGTGACGTTCAAACCAGAGGGGTCTGATGTGCCAGCAATTTGACAGTTATTAATTTGGTTTTCTCAGCAGTGAATATATCACACTACTTGATGCGCAATGTCTATTTTGGTCTATGTACAAGTAGCAACTCAGTCACTATTCACCTCTCTAATGTGTTAACATTTGCTATCTCTCTGTATACTGGAACTAACAGCTAAAATAGGAGTATTTTTACAGTTAATCTCAAGTTCAGAAAGCTACCTCTCTTCTCTACAGAATAGCACTCTGCCTGGCTTACTATGACTGATGACCCAAGCCAGTTATGTTGGCTGAAAATTGTGCTACCCCACTTCCCGAAGACCAATTAGTGGGCCAGTTTCAATCCGGTTAGGTCAGCTGAAATGTGTTCCCGTTCACCCCATTCATATTCTGGTGGACAACCAAGGAGGAATAGTAACAGGCTAATCTGGGGAACCAGAAACTCAAATGGTAAAAAAACAGTATTTAAAATAAGCAATATTACAGAGCACTGTTACAGGAAAACATAATTTTTTTTTGCAAAACGTGTGCAGGGATTACTAGCATACCGAATGAGGAAGCAGTTAAAATTGTAATTAAATCTGTAGCCGCAAGCCTTTGAGTTCTTTTAAGACTTTCTCAGATATCCAGCTTCTCCCTGGATTTTATACCACTCAACATCTCAGGAGAGCCCTACTGGTGACATTCCATAGATTCTCAATGCACATCAACAGCATTAATCTCTGCATCATGTCAGGACCAATTATTGTTGATGTAAACTAAACTGAGAGATAATCTATTATAAGATCTTATTATACAATGGGTGGGAAGTTCACACATTAAAAAAAGGAAAACGGACAATTGTTTTTATAAAACTCTTTTAAATGCACCCATTAATTACTACAACTGGTAGGTACGTTAACAGTCTGTCAGTGAATACATTTTACATATCAAGAGCACAAAAATGGAAGCTAGATTGAAATACTTCACTTATGCTGGTAAAAAGCCACCATGGAATTCCCTTGCCAATGTGTTCATAAGAAAATAATCGTTCCATCAAAGCCATAGAAACATTCACAGTATTAATGCAAGAGAATTACTCAGTTTATTTTTTTTTTTAAAACTACCAATCTCACAGCAACTTCATCTCCTGTGCAAAACAATTCAAACCTGAAATACATTTAAAAGTCCTTTTTTGAGCTCAATACTGCACATGATCTGTGGAGAGCGGCTAAACCTTGTTTTTTCAAAGTAAATAACTTTGGACAGGTTATACTTTATGCTGAATAATGTGCGTGACTTCAGTAATGCAGATCTGAGGATTGGCTTAATTATAGGATAATACCACTAGGCTAAATCCCAATCAGACAGTTGTCAATTGTGTTACTGGGAAACTCACGTTAGTTAATTTTATTTGTGTCAGAAGTGATTAGATGAGCAGTTGGTGGGTAAAATAAATAAAGGTTCCTTTCCACAATAGTTTTAAAACAGTGGTAATATCAGTAGCAAAAAAATGGGAACTGCCCACAAAAGCCAGTGCAGTTAGCAAAGTAAACAGCCATAAAATCCAGTGCTAGTCATTCTTTCTTACATGTTTTGATAATCCAAAAGCCTGAGGAGGAAGAGTTGCAAATTATGCACCTGTCTGAAAACCAGTAGTTTCCCCCCCAACCTAGTGATAAAACTAAACACATATGGTCTGGCTAGGTCATTGTAATGCCTTAGATCAGGGTGGTCCAACCTTTTGGTTGATAATGGACAGATGCCGGAGTTGAGAAATGCCTGCAGGGCACATGAGTAACATTATTGTGTTTCCCTTCCAGAAACATAACCTGTAAGAATCATAAAGTAATCCTATGTTTTAAATTGTGTAACTTAATTACTTCATTTCACTTTATTTCAGTTACAATGGAAACTCTAAATGGGCAACGTAAAAATGTATATGAATTTTAAAAGCAATAATACAGCCAGCGACGAGGTATCTCTGTGTCCAAATTATGTATTTCTGCTCATAGATTCTTGGCTATAACATTACTTCACACAAATATTCACTGACATTTTTTAATGGCTATATATGTAAACTATACATTCAAGGTCAGTGGAGGCAGTAAGCTGAGCGGCAATGGTTTTCTTCAAACCTGAAGACTGCAGCTGCTATTTTATTAAACCTTTGGCACAATAATTTTGCTCAAAAGGAAGGCTGGAAGAGAAACTGAAAAGAATATAAATTCAGCACATCCCAACTCTCACCAGTAATCAATTCTTCCCAAATGCAAAATGCAGTAATTTTCGCAGCGTGCCAGCTCACACTCAATTGATGGCATTGTGCCACACTAAAAATACCTCAAATCATTTCACTAGTTTCTTGCAGACTGTAGCTGGACTTCTTGGCAACAGATGGCAATAATCTTGTTTTTCTGGAGGCTGATACCACTTACTAAAGATCCTAGCTAGCCTTCTATGCGTTGCTACTCAGGTTTTCATGGTGACCTGCGGTTACTCGCCAACACACAGACTTGCCATCATACCCAGCGGCTTGAGACGTCCTCCCGACGTGAAAGGCACTATACAAATGTAATTTTGTATTATATTGTATTCCTGATCTGCACTGACCCAAGAATGTTTCCCCCCCACCCTTTGCTTTACATTTAAAAGTGAGATCTTGCTTAATACTTCAAATGCAATACTATCAAGTCCAAAGCCACAATTGGAAGTAACGTAATATAAACTTTCAAGTAGGTCAGTGAGAAATTGAGCTAGCTAACTCAAAAATTAATTGAGAAATATACAACTATGCTCACAGCAGTTTTGTTCACTGGCTTATTCAATTCAGTATGACTTAGGTTGGACCTTAAATATTAAACTGGAGTCAGCAAAATCAGTGAAACAAACTAGCATTCCCTTAACTTTTCTTCCACTTACTCAGCCCTAGCCTTCAACCAAAGATTAACAAAGACAAAGCAAGCAAAAGATTCTGAAAAGAAATTGCAGGCTTCTGGGATTTGGATTTAAGTAATCCAATTAGATTGCCATGGTTGCTGCTTAAGTGACAATGCTGAGATCATCCAAAATGTATATAAATAGGTCACGTACATGTGTTTTGCTATCTCAGCCTATGTTGTAATAAATAACTTACAATCACAAATATAGTTGTAATATGGCACACAATTCACAATTCGCAAGTGACCAAGCACAAAGTATATAACATTGCACATGTAATTTCAAGATCCCCAAAGCATACAATTCAATATCTTCTGATTAGTCATGGAAAATGATCCGGAAGGAATGATAACATCAACTGTGTCCAACTAAACAGATTTTGTGTCTCTACATTAATTATGAAAATACAAGATTAACGTCACATTGCAAGAGGAGTTGAATTGCATAATGTACTCCCACTGTGTGATACAGATGTGAGAAGACAAATTTTTTTTTTTAAAAAAGAGGTTGGCACAGTTGTAACATATATATATATATACACACACAAACATATATATATATATCAAACTGAAGTACAACAAATCAATTATATTATAAAACGGGATGCTCTTGTACAAAAGACCAAGCAAGTCGCTTGGTAGCTCTCAGGGTATAACACTCACTGGTCACCCAGGCAGAAAGCGAGGTTTGAATCGCTGCCTCAGGTGACATTAACTCAATCAAGCTTGCCCAGATCTCTGAAATGCCACACAGAGTGCTGTGCAGCAGCATAGTGCTTCACCTCCTCAGTATTTTGAGGCAGATTGTTTGTGTGTGTCGGGTGCGTGTGCATGGGGTGGTTGTGGTGTGTGTGTGTGTGGCGGGGGGGGTGTGGTGTGTGTGTGGGGGGGGGGGTGGGGGGGGGGGGAGTGTGGTGTGTGTGTGTGGGGGGGGAGTGTGGTGTGTGTGTGTGGGGGGGGATGTGGTGTGTGTGTGTGGGGGGGAGTGGTTGTGGGGTGTGGTGTGTGTGTGTGGGGGGGGTGTTTGTGGGGTGTGTTGTGTGTGTGGGTGGGGGGGGATGAATACTTTTCCTGCTAATCAATTAAAAGAATATCACAGATTCTAATGAGACATCCTTACCCCAAACCTTCTTGTTCTTCTGAAGGAATGGAACACGGATATAAAAACACACAGACAAACACACAGAAGTCTGTGTACTGGTTGAGGATCATGTCCCCACAGAATGGGTTTTTTTTAAAAAAAAGTTGCCTTCAATAATCTGAATATCTAACAACAGGATCACTGAATTAAAATAACTTTGAATAATAAGCTTATAAGATTGCTGCTAAAGGCAAAATGTTGATGAAGGAATGGAACATTGAAGCGAAAACTAGAAAAGGGATAACAGCAGAAGCCCAGCAGTCTACAACCTCCCAATTCTTACACAAGCAGAAAGGGCCCATCATGCTAGAGTTTGCTATGATTGTGGGTGCTTGTTAAGAATCCTTTCACAGAAAGCTAAGTGAAGACTCCTTTGTGATGAAAATAATACTGATGATGTGGCTCAAAGTCCATGGAGAAGGTCATCTCCCAGCACGATTGTCACAAACGTGCAGTCGCCTCCATTTGCATGATATATCAATTCAGACAAGTGATGACAAATGGCTTTTCCTGACCAAAGAGGCTTTGAGAGTCTACTTGGAAAGAATTACCTACTTACCCATTAGACTGGAGTTCATGAACGGTGTTGGTGACAATCCTTCATGGGATCCTAATCGACTGTCATTCAAGTGTTCACCATAATGAGGACTGTCTGTAAAACCCTAGGGGAGGAAAAAAGATCATAGTATTATAGAGATTATGAAGCAGTCACACTAATTATCTATAATGGTACTCATTACTTTGTAGACTAACAAATAGGTAACCGTCTCATTTTCTGAAATACAACTGCTTTAATCTCGTAGGCTCCCACTTTACAAAGGATTCTGTGACTTCAAGTTAGTATCAAAAATATTTCCCATCTGGTCACTTGACAAACTAAATGATGAGGTTTTGTGAATTATTACAACCTGGACTCTAACCATAGCAGTCAACTGCTGTGGGCTAAGTTATACATCTAAAAGCAGGTCAACAATGGAGACCATAAGTGTTTTCCCCTTCAAATTTAAGGCAAAATGCAAAAACAAGCATTTCTAACTTTTCACCACATTGTAATAAGTGCAAATATTATTATGATTTCTAATCATCGGTTAAAAATATATCTTCAGGTGCGGACACAAAGTGTGAGTTTACTGAAGGCCAAGAACGGAATTTGTTTTTAAAGTATCTGCACACTCAGATCAAATAACAAACATGACAAATGCAATTCAGACCTTTCCCCTTTATGATGTGCTCAATGTAAGAGCACCCCCTATTGAAACAGTATGACCATTTCCCAAACTACCTATTCTTATGGACTGAGTAAAATCAGACAGAGACAATTCTGCTCCATTTGTTTTTTTTTTAAAAAAGCAATTCATTTTAGAGATTCATTCATTAAAAAATTCCAAAGTTAGTTTGCTAACAAGAACTACATTTTCTGAACTATATTTGAACCGAGGACCCAAAACCAGATTCTGTTGTTGGTCAATGTGGCAGATTGTCCTCCAATTAACATCAGCAATTGAGAAGACAGACCGTACCATGACAATTAGAATGCTTATATCCATGAGATTGGGATTGCCCAACAAACAGTATTTCCTAGTAATCCTATGCAGGTGACATTTGTATAACTTTGCATCGATGACAATATATTTAATCCCCGGGGGTACGTTATACATTAAAAAAGTGACTACTCTCAACTATGTCAGCAATGGCACCACTACTGAAAAAGCCTTCCACAGACATCAGTACGAAATGGCATTGTTCTGTAGTTTAAGTCTACACCTGACCTGGGTATACTTAATGCCAAGTGCCAAAATTGGAAAGGATTTCATTTTCAAGCAACAGCCCTCCATCTTAATGGAAAGGGTCGATCGCCTGTTTGCGGGGTGTACCGTCCATGTAATGTAAATCCATGTAACATAAATCCATGTAACATAAGATCTATGCAACGTAAATGTTTTTCAAATCACTGCAGATTTTCATCAGTTTACAGAGAGAGAAAACATTAAGTGGAAAAAAAGTGAAAACCATGAAGAAAATTTTTAATATAAAATGAAATGTTAAAAGATTTGTTTTCCAATTCAGACAAGCTCTTGGTTGCCATTGGGACAGAAAGCAATACCAATATTGGAAAGCACATGTTTCTGCAATGGCAATCTGGTGTTATCTTACTAAGAAACAAGCTGTATTTATTATATCCGTTAATACTTGGGGGAAAAAAATGATTACAACTTGAATCAATTTGATGTCCCATTGATAAAGGTTAGCATGCAAAGTTTTTTGTGTAACAAGTGTTAAATGTCATTTAGTTAGACATTAGAGTGATGTGATTAGCGAAGTAGAATGAACATAAACAGTACACATTGTGGTTTCAAAGTTTCTGTACTAAAATAGGAGAATTAGCTTTGCTATTTTTATTATATACACATAGTCAGCTGTATATTAAGTAGCAGTTACCAAGTAATTGTTGAGGTTTGAGAAAAAAATGAAAACATGCTCTTCGAGTTACAAGAAAAAACTTAACGCACATATTTCTGCAATCTTCACTCGCATTACAATTACGTTTTAGCAGCAAAGTGCCGGAAGAAATAATGTAACCGGTGTTATTTTCAGTGAAAACACACCTCAAAAGAATAAAATTCTTGGACACAAAACCTTTCCTGCAAGTAATCACTCCACTACGATTCCTTTCAATTTCAGATAACAACCGGATGACCAAATGCTGCAAAAAAATAACTTCTTCACAATACAACGTACAAAAGTAGAGGCCACAAGGCAGAATGAAAGGCATTGGGAAAAAAATACTCAGGACCACTGCAGCCCAGAATCCTCTGGGACTATTAGATCATCAGTCACTGAACATTCATCATTTCCCAGACTGGAGGCCAACTTTCAAGACAACATTAATGGGGCCGAAACAGGCCACACTATCTGTGCTACGTGCTGTCAGTTCAACCAAAGGGCTAGTATCTGCTGGCTAAATAACTGTCAAATCACTAACTGCTTATGGATGCATGTCACAGCTTCTTCTGCTACACTGCCTTAAACTAATCTTTTGAGAGTTGCAAGTCCCAGGTGAATCCTTGCTTCAGTTTAACTACTTCAGAATCAATGATACACATGTGACAGACACGAGGAAAGCAATCTCAGTGACATTTACAGCTCAGCATGACCACAAGGGTATCCTCTGGAAACCACGACTGTAGCCTTGTCTGTCAGGAGCCAGCTCTCAGCAGTCACTGCCCCCCAAAAAACAGTAATGGCCAACAGCCAAGGTCAACATCGCATGGCTCTTTCTGCATTAAAATGAAACAAAACAAAGTGCAGAAGAAACACCCAAAAAGACAATGTTCTGAATTGCTGCGAGGCGATTCATGAACTGAACCACTGTTTATAAGAAAATGACTAACCATTTAAATGAACAAGGCATAGATTTGAAATCCCAACAGCATGCTTACAAACAACTGACGAACCCTTTATTCTTTCTAGCCACAAGAGACAGATTTGCCAGTGAAGAGCCAACTAAATAAGAGTACATGGTCTCCCACAATAATTTCTCCAATTATTATCCAGTTCACCATACTATTTAAATAACAAGTAACAAAATGGCAGTCATGTCAAATTAAACAACCCAAAAATTTGGATTACAAAATTTCTCTGTGTAAGCGGTTAGCTTGAGAAACTGGTAATAATCCTTCCTTGCTCAACAATACAAGAAGATTTTTTTTCAAGAGCACTGATCTAGTTTAATAACATGATGTAGAGGTTTTCTTGTGCTGGCTCAGCATAGTACTTAGAATGCCACAGTAATTGCAGCCCGCAAATTTCAGCAGGCGGCATCAGTTGACGGCTGGGCAGTTAAGAGGCAAAATCTCCCGCAACAGGGAGTATTGCCAGCTGCCAGAAATGACAGAAAAAGAAAACCTCCAGAATTGAGGGTGCTCTCAATGAAGAAAGCTTCGCAAACTGGGCCAACGGATCTCACTCCGTGTTGATGAGGAAGCAGTGTCGTGAATTAACAGTGGATCATACAGGAACGATACAAGCACATTTGGGACACTGAGCAAGGAAAGGTTTTATGGCTCGTTTCAAACGCCAAGAAGCCAAAATGAAATTTCCGTTCCAATTGTACTGGAAGTGCAATATGTAGTTTGAGGCACTTAAACTAGCCTCAAATGTTTTACAAATACATTTTAGGGTATGTGCTTGGGCTGTGTGATATTTAATTAGACAAGATCTACTGGAAGGTGTATAACAGACACTCAAAGGACTTTGCACCATGACTGCAACCAGATTCCTTCAAACTACAATTGAGCCAAAAGTGCCAACTTCTTGCAAGTATTGATGCTGCATTTCTCTGATAATTATTCTCCAACTTTAACTCCCGCTCCCTCTCTCCTGAAAAGTTAACCAAATTCAACCACTGTTAGCTAGAAAACTCTGGTACGGAGACAGACGCTGAATGTCTTTAATCAGCTTATTTATTTCTCACACACGACACAGTGTAACACTGGAGAGCTAAAAACTTCAACAATTATAAGCACTGCCCATTTTGACAGTTATATATAAACAATTAAAAATGACACCAGTGTGGAGTTAATCCTTGCTTTCAAATAAACAAATAACCAGCTATAAACAGCTAATTTAACTAACAAAAATGTAAATTCTGTATTATGCAGTTCCATCCATTTGGTTAACTACATTTTCCAATCACGGGAAACATCATGAGAGGCCCATTATGTTCTCATTTTTCCAGATTCTCTACCATCATCTCATTACAGCATCAAAAGGGATTCTTGAAAGAGCCCAGACATCTGCCACAACCACCATTTCAACCTTTACCTCCAGTGTAAAATATTTCCCACTGTCTTAAAATTGGGTCTTAAAACCCTGAACCTGTGATCCACTCGAAATGTTGCCTTGGAATATCTGAAAGAGGTTTTCTGGACTTACTTTCACTGTCCCATTTTAGATGAAGAAACTTTGTTTCAAGATGTGATTGATTCACATTGAAGAAATGCTACGTTGTTGGAGGTCCTATCCTTCAGATGAGACATCAAACCGAGGTCCCACCTGCCTGTTCAGGGGACACTTAAAAATCCCACCACAATATTCAAGAGAAGGGAGCAATAAAAATATTTATTAACAAAGCAGACTTACCCTTGAAGATTCATACGATGGGCTTGTTTGGCTACCTGTCCCCCAAGAGGCAGTACCTGTTCGTTCTTCCATTCCTAACGTAAACGAAAAAGGCACAAAATGTCATCATGAGTATGTTATGCAGACATGGACCAATAGTTTTTTAAAAAAAAAAAAATTCTACATTTGGCAACTTTTCTCACATAATTAACATTAAAAGTAATAAATCCTCAGATGTTTGTGCTTATAATTCTGTTCAAAGGTTAGTGGCGAAATTGCTGTTAGGCCAGTAGGGCAGACAGAACTCTACTGGCACAGATTCACAGAGATTGTAAAGCACTAAATCTGGCCATTTGGCAGTGTTTATTCTCCACATGGGCTTCCACTGCTCCCAATCTTCTCTTCCTATCCTCTATTCCTTTCTCCCTCATGTATGCATTCCCTTTAAAATCACTTGAACGATAATTAAGACAATTTGAAAACCATACACCTTCTAAAATCTTAAACTCATTCACAAGGTTTCCAATGTAGCAGGAAAGAAGTAAAAGTCATCCCTTTTAGAAGGTGCTATTGAAAAGAGTCCCCTTCAAAAACTACCACACTGACAAGTCTCCACTGGCCTAGCATTAAGAGGTTAAAAGCTTTACAACTGGAAATTAAGTCATTTTATAGAGTGTGGGCCAAACTATAAACAAGTTATTTAATAAATAATTCAGCCCAAGATGAACACACAAATGAAAGCAATACAAACTTTATTCTCAAAGCAATACAAAAGAACTACAGTCAGGCTTACCATCTGCCTTTGTTGATCAAATTATAGATCTTACCAGTACAATTAGATTTCTAATGGCTATAGTTTGTACTTTAACAAGAATATCAAGCATTGCCAAGGTTTCTAACTTTATTCTAAACGCAATAATGTGCCTGGCAGTACCGTTCCCGATAGTATAGATGCTCACTTAAACCAATTGCAGAACATTCTAGTAAATTAAGTTTTATTGAGAGCTTTCATTTAAGAAAGATTCAAATCAAACACGGCTAATTTTTCTCATTACATTACTATTTCCCCTGAAGATGCAACAACATTGAGGTTGCAGACATCTTCACCATTGGAGAAAAAAACCTTGCTTCAATTATTACAACAGTCTTGTCTTTAACCCATAAACAATTCCTTTTCATTTCCTGCAATGTGGTCAGGGACACAGTAAATTCCCCTGACACCAAAAATAGTTTTCTCTGCAATAAACTCGTCAGAATAACTACAATTACTAATTTATTGACTTGTTTGTCCATTTCATCCTTCTCTCCCCACCCTCCAAACGAATAAAACACACGCACACCCACAAACGCTTTAGAATAATTGAAACTTAAAAAGGAAACGTATGTTTCACTGAAGAGAAACAATACCATGAGTAATTTACTATCTTATTTGAGTTGGATGTATCAATCTATTACAAAAACAGAAGTCGCTGAGAACACTCAGCTGGTCAGGCAGCATCTATGGAGAAACTGAGGGAACCAATAAGGGGATTCTGTTTGTTTTTTAGCCCAGTTCTGACGAAGGGTCGTAGACCCGAAATGTTGACTCATTTTCCTTTCTCCATAGATGCTGCCTGGCCTGCTGAGTGTTCCCAGTGACTTCTGTTTTTGTTTCAGATTCCCAGCGTCTGCAGTATTTTGCGTTTTGTGACAATCTATTACCCTGATGCACAAGGATGAAAAATCTAAATCAAATGTTTGGAATCACTTTCTGTAGCTTTTTAGATTTACTAAAATTATATAAATAAACCTTGCAGTTGAGATAGCACCTAATGTCGAAAGCCTCAAAGTGCTTCACGGACTTTGCTGTGAAGGGTAGTGACTACTTTAGGTCAATGAAGTAACCAATACGCACAGGAGAATGTCCCACAAGCAGCCGTAAAGTGAATGCCAATTTTGATACATGCCAAGGATGACTGAGGCTAGTATGAAGACAACAGTTCAAAAAATTAATTCCCTTTGAAACAATGGCATAATTAGTTATACATTCTTAAGTGCCTTATTTAGGATTTACACCAAAATGGCATTTGCGGCTTTTTTAGCTGGAGATTTCATATTGCAAGGTCTTTTCTCATAGTGTGAGTGAACAGACTATTAAAGGTTACCTTATAAAGCTACCAAAATTACTTCCTATAAAAATCAGGAATGCAAAGAGAAATGGGAGAAATTTCTTTCCTAATGAGGAAGCACGTGCTACTCGAAATACAATTTCATAGGAGATTTCTTTATGAACACCAATATGGGTGTTCTGTTTGTATTAATCCTTGCTTGTGCGTGGGATAAAACTTCAACTTGAGAAGATAATAAAATGTTTAGGTAAAGAAACAGTAAACTGGAACAGTAGTCATGGCAGCTACAAATCCAATGGTGAATTCTAGAAGCTTTAACCATTTTAGTGACTTTTTCTGCGGTTACTTCTGTTATGACTCAGCTGCCTTCTTTAACCAGACACTAAATCATTGTAACACAAATGTCAAACGATACCAGGTCAGAGGCACAAACTGTAGATTAGTGGGTGACAGTTATAATTACCGCTACCTGTAACTGTCATTTGAAACTTAGCAATCAAATGAAATCTTCCGATTGTAAATGTACATAAATAAACAATATTTGATAAGGCCATGTAATATTACCGCAATCCATCTTCCCAGTACTGAAGATGGATTGATGTAATCTGATGCTGCAATCCAGGATAAATTCATCAGATTCAATTTCTTGATCATTTAGATGCTAAATGGAGTGGATGAAAGCTTTCAAAGTTACATTTGAGGCACGCTTTGGATACTCTTGCTGATGTCACCCACTCATCGACTTACTGAAATGCAAACAAACTGTTTTTCATCTAGTTTTGCAGGAGATTTCAATACATAATAGTTAAGTGGCATCACCAGCACACATCCCAGACCTGTTTATCACCACTTGCCCATTCTTCACATATTGCTCAACACTCATCTTTGTTTCAAACCCACATTCAGTCAATCGTTAAGAGCACTTTTTTCCAACTCCAGATCTGGTTTGGATGCTCAAGACCTGATGATGTGTTTCCATATGTGGCAGAGACCTGGCTGACCACCTCCCCCCTCCCCCAAAAAAAAATCCACTTCCAAAACATAAGCCCTCACTTCACGCCATTCACATTTCATCAAGGATAGATCTTTCCAATGCACTCCTCACCCGCTGTTCAGTAGGTAAAAAATAAGTTTAAATAAAAATTCTCATCTATGCAAAGCAACTGACCTTTTTTGGGATAGACAAAGAGGAACAAAATTATGGAAAAAAATCTTTTCATTGATGGTTTTGGAGAATTTCAGAAGTGCAGTCTTTGTTACAAAAAAAAGTGGTATTTTGAAGGGTTTTAAAGATCTCATTAAAGCCTTACATTTCCATTCATCATTCATCAGACAGAACTAATGTCACTGTTCCAGTAATTGCTTACACGCTTCTCATCTGTTACATTAAATCTGTCACGTTTGTACAAACATTTTTTATTTTTTTTAAAATGTATCATTCTTTGGAAAATGATTGAAGATTACAGCAGAACACCCAATACTAATCGGGGTGACACTCTTGAAGTCATGAAAACAAAGTTATCAAATTAACCTTTCAAATGTAAGTATTGTGCAAATAAATAGTAACGAACCAAAAATCATGCCCATTAAAATCTTTCATGTTATTGTGAATTATAGTATTTGCAGCACTATGACAAAATGCTGGAAAGGTTTTTACAGGCAATTACAGCTCCCATTAGAGCTGGATCATTTGCAAAGCAGTAGATGGGTTTCACCACTAATAATACCATTCAAATCACATGGGAAATCTGATATTCTGAAGTTCCCCCTTCCCCCAGTTGTTCAGGAACTACATTAGCTGCTATTTTAATAATGTTTCAATTAATTTTAATATACTGAGGTACTGTATTTAGGATTCCCACTGCAATATCAAGGATTTATTTCTGCAAGCTATGTAACCAATCGATAAATGTAACCACCCATTAGATGTATTTTGACTATTTATGTTTACTTACTTTAAGTAAATTCACGAGGTATTGGGAGTAGATCCAAAACAAGGGATCTCTAAAAAAAAATTATCAAATGTATTTTATTTGATCCTTATGAACTAATCTCAGTACAAAGGAAAATCATGCTGCCTTAAACATTAGGCATCCAAACAAGCAATCAACACACTGCAGTGAAAGTGTCAATTTGGCCGTACCATACGTCAGGACTTTGAGCACATAGGCTGACAATGCAAGACACTGTTGCAGGATATGCTACAAGTCTGGAGATGCCACCCTTCAGTTGAGACTTTAATCCGAGATCCCGTCCGCTGCTCAGCAGGACATTAAAGATCGCATTGGAACTTGAACTGGAAGACGATTTAACCATGAGAGCTAAGGCCCTCCAGGTTCAGAACAGCCATTTGATGCGTTAGCTTATTGTTGAGTTTCCTTTCAATGGAAAGGCATTAGAACTGCAGACTTAGCTCAAAGTCTTCAATCACCAAGTTCGCAATTAGAAGCGCCAATGATTTCTATTGGACCCATCAAGTCTTTTTTGGTTTGAAAACGGAACTTTTTCAATCTAACCTCTTAAAAGCAAACACCACCGTAGCGTTAAATCAGTTTGTGTCTCATTCTTTAATTAATTCCCTGGGACGTCCTCCCGACGTGAAAGGTGCCGTACAAATGTCATTTTGTATTGTATTGTAAAAAGGCAACCAATACCGCAGGGTAATCCACTCGGGTCTAGTTAAGAGGATGAAATTAGTTAAAATCCAGTTTGCATAATAAAGAAATGGTTACAACTATCTAGGTAATTCCAATTGACATTGACATTTTTCCTTTATTACTTAGTGTTAGCGTAATGGAAGCAGGTGGGTCAGAACTAGGATCAGGTTTGCCCTTCTTGTTCATTGCGATTTGGGGAGATTTGTAAAGTAAGTACGCCACTTCTACAATAAGGTCATGATATGATCCACAAACTCCTAAGTCATGGGCCCTTCGGTGGCATTCTCCAGGGGCCGCCATTTTCACAGCCAGTGCACCAGGACAACTTTC